GCTTGTTGAGTGTGGAAATCTGTTTTGGCAACCCATATGTATATCCTGGAACTCATCCAGTATTTATTATACCTCCTTAATGTTCCTGAAAACATTGCACTTTGTACAAACTTGTAATTCATTCAGTTTTTCCCCATTCCTTATGCTTCAAACTCATAATTCCCGCCCCGTCTTCCACTTCCGGTATTTCTTAACCTGTTCTTACATCGATATGTTGAAAATAAGTAACAGATATTTAAAAAGAGAGCTAAATTACATAACGAACGAATGTAAGATAAAGGTAAAGTTGTCCCTGTGCTTAACTAATTAGGCACTACGTCATGAAGGCGTATGGGGGAATGGATGTATAGACCCATATTTTCTTGACCTCGGCACTAGCTTGAAGTGAGTGGTTAGCTTCACGCCCCGCCCGCTTTATCCCCTGGGAAATAGTCCCCGATACCCTTTAGATAGGAGATTGGTTGGACCCCACTGCCGGTTTGAACGACATGGAGGAGAGAAAATTCTTGACCTTACCGGGACTCGAACTCCGACGCCTCGGTCGTAGAGCCCGTAGCTAGTCGCTATACAGACTACGCTATCTAGAGTATGAGGACAATTATCTTCTTTACATTGATATTTTAAGATTGGTGTCAGTTGTCCAGTATGCAGAAGTTGGTACATGGAGGGATGCGGTATTGCTCCGTGTTGCCTATGTAACGCGACAAGTAAATTCAAGCGGGTCTCGGATTTGGCTAAAGACGTTTATTGGGCAATCTCTTTCACATTCCCAAGTACAATTATTCACAACTTCACTATTAAAATTACTTGCACCGCTGATCTTTGTGAAGGGTCTTCTGTCCTTTGTCGGATGCGAGCTTGCTTCTGCTCTAGTCGAAGGTGGACTTTTATAACGTGCACTCGGACTGACTAGTGAACATCGTGTTCAAGGGTTCCGTTTTATCCTCTGGTAATATTCGTTTTCATGGACATCTTTTCATTTCCGGGGAAACGCAGTTGTTGTTCAAGCTGTTCCTATGCATCGGTCTGCTGGTATTGCGTTTCCACTGAAGTATGCATCTTTATCGTGCCGTTGCCTATCAATGGACGTCTTATCGCCCGGCTTTTTGGCGGCACGCCACATTATGAAAGCACAATCTGTATAGCCGATGGAAATTAATCACTGTAACAGTGATATTTAAATGTGCATATGTAATGAAAGAAATGTCCCTATTAATTCCTTCCGTGCATTCGTATTGCCCAAGTCTCCGTGAAATATATGCAATAATGAGTAAAATGTGTTGTATTCAGTACAACATGTAGGGTCATACCAATCCTGGGACCAGAGTACGTCATATCTTGTGTAGGCAACCCTTCGGATGAAAAGTTCAAGGTATCCCGTATGAAGCTCATAGGGGCCATCGTTCATAGCCTGATCGAATCAATGACAACAGTCATGAAATATTTCACATAATTATATATTTAAATAATCTTTCGCTGCCTTACGACGAAGACCGCGTATGTTGTCTAGTGGTCAGAGTTCTTGGCTGCAAATCCAGAGGTCCCGGGTTAGATTCCCGGCGCTACCAGATTTTCTGAGTAGTAGCGGGTCTGGGATGGAGTTCACTCAGCCTCGTGAGAATAACTGAGGAGCTACTTGGATTGAAAAGTAACGGCTCCGGCTTGAAAACCGAAATTAACGGCCGTGGGGATTCTTTTTATTGTAGAAAAAAATATTGTAAACACACAAAAAAAAAAAGGGTAGTCAATGCCCATCCGGCCTTCTGTAGCACATCTCCGACTTGCCGTGGTGGTGGGGCTTGCGTGACTCTGTGACCTGGAGGGCTATGCCGGCGGTAGTTTAGCTACCAGTAGGGTCACCCATGCCGGAAAGGTCAAAGGGTAGAGTCCAGACTAAGGGAGATACCCTGGTCCTCCAAGTTGGGGGTTGGGCATGAGGCTAAAACCTCATCCTGTAAAAAGAATTTTGTTCAGAAACCTAACAACCAGCCTCGGGTCATCATGCGTGGGTCCATTCTTGTGGCAACGCGCATTGGTTGTGGAGACTGGTTGTAGAGGAGGCCAAGGCTCACCCAGGGCTGTAGCGCCGGGTGCTAGGTAGGTAGGTAGGTAGGTAGGTAGGTTTGATGTCTTAAGAGATAGTTTATTGTATTTTCTATGTTAAGCATACAGTATTAAGCTTTAGTATTTAAACTGTACTGTATACAGTACGAACTCCAAAATGGCGAAAATTTTCCAGAACTATTTTGTATTTATAGTTGGGCATCTTCATTTGTTCTCGCTTGCCAATTTTTGAAATGTGTTGAGAAACCGGTCATGTGTAAGGGATATCCTCTAAGAAATTCTGGGTTTATGAAGATGTGATATGTTCGTTCTCCCTTTCAAGAAAAGAGTTTGAAAATCAGAGTCAATCAGCTGATTTTACCGCACACAGCACTAGTGGAAAAGTAGGTTCATCTTTAGAAGTCGGCGAATCTCCGCTTCGAGCCACACTGAGGGAAAACTATGTACATGTAAATTACTATGTAAGTACATTCCTAAGAACTGTCTCATTTCTATTATATTTTCATATAACTTACGGTTAACCAACCCGAAACGTACTTTATACGAAATTTTTGCTCTGGTTTCAAATTTGTGATTTGGCTGAAGAGCATGGCACCAAGGTTTACGTACATCGCCACATCAGGAAGAATATGTGTGCGCGATGCTGGGCAATTATGAATAACTGTAACATACAAAAAACAAACTCCGTGGTGTTAGTCCGAAAGCGAACTATACCGACCGAGCGACCGCCGCTTGTCGGCGAAGTTAGTGCCAACTTTTGCGGATAGAGGATGTCGAGTGGTCAGCGCAACGAATCCCCACGGCCGTTAATTTCGGTTTTCTAGACCGGAGCCGCTATTTCCTTTAAATAGCTCCTCAATTATCCTCACGAGGCTGAGTGGGCACGGTTCCAGACCCACAACTTCTCAGAAAATCTGGTAGCGTCGGGAATCGAACCCGGGACCTCTGGATCTGTAGCCAGGAACTCTGACCAATGGACCACAAATGAATAACTGCAACTGAATGTACATTTATACAGCCTCATTTAGAGCAGACTTAAAGGAGCAAATGTAGCCGAATAATCAGGCTGAAACCATGTGACACTCCCGAGCTAAAGTGTAGTGATATGTGTCGATTTTTTATTTTGATAATATATATTTTTTAATTTACATAATTACCTAATCTGTCGATAAACTTGAGCATTTGTCATTAAAATAAAATAATCTAAGTTGTCGAATGTTTAAATGTTTCCCACATTTTACAAATTCCAAAATATATTTATTATGAATAACGCAATTATTAAAAAAATATTCTATAATTTTTAGTTTTTAGAAATGTTTTAAAAACCTACTCAAATTTTGAAATCTTGGATAATCGAAATATACAGATATTAAAAAGTCTTGTTTTTTCCGAGACTAGAAAATATTTTAATATCTGAGGAGATAAGTCGAATGTATCAGTGGTTTAAAGTCTCAAATGAGAAGGCTCAATTTCATCTTCTGATGGATAAGTGCTGGCGAGATGCGCCAATATGATCTAATGCAGCCCAGCCAAGCCTAATACTATCGGACGCAACTGGGCCAGCAGGAATAAGTGGATGCGCAGTGGTATTTTGCTCAAACCTAACCTATCTTAACTTCACCTAATACTGTTCAATACAACCAAGTACTGTCCCAATGAGGAGGGTGCTGCGCAGCTGGATGCGCAGTGGTGTATTGCGCAGACAAAACCTAACCTAACCCAACCCAACATTGCTCAGTCTCAACATATGCTGACTAAGGGAGCAGGTGCGCAGTAGTTTGTTGCGCAAACTTAACCTAACCTAACTTAATTTGATTTGTCTCATTCTGGTCCGTCACACTATCATTACAAAGTAGATAACTTTCAGTCCAGTATGACACACAGGTTTACAACACTTCAGTCCTCATTCGGCTTACATGTTTCGATTCAAAAGAATCATCTTCAGAGGCGCACCACTACGAGCAGGAAACACTGTCACATAAGATGTTTTAACATTATGCATTTAGGTTATGTATAGTGCTCAGTATATCACAGATTGCCCTATGCAGCCACGTTGACGTGTAGATTTACGTGTGATGTTTCTTTTAAGCGTATTTGCTGGGTATTCGATTGGGGTTTCCCANTTTTTTACATACAAAAGATTTTTAATACAATTTTAAATACATAGGGAAGCTATTTTATGGAAAAGTGAACATCACATTGCGTGCAGTGGGAAACTCCAATCGAATACCCAGTAAATACGCTTAAACGAAACATCACACGTAAATCTACACGTCAACATGGCTGCATAGGGCAATCTGTGATATAGTGAGCACTATACATAACCTAAATGCATAATGTTAAAACATCTTATGTGACAGTGTTTCCTGCTCGTAGTGGTGCGCCTCTGAAGATGATTCTTTTGAATCGAAACATGTAAGGCGAATGAGGACTCAAGTGTTGTAAACCTGTGTGTCATATTGGACTGAAAGTTATCTACTTTGTAACCTAACCTAACCTAACATTGCTCAATCTACCTAAATGCTGACCCAATGAGGAAGGAGGTGCCCAGTTGGATGCGCAGTGGTATGCTGCTGGGAATTCATTGGAAACGTTTGTATCTCCCACCTCGCAAGTTTGCGCGACCATTGTGTTTTATTACTGATTGTAACAAATTGAAAACTATGGCTATGGGTTGGCCTTCAGTGGCATATCAATCATGTCGAGTTTCGTGAAATTCGGGCAAGTATTTTAAATCTGCGTGTGATGGGGCCATGATAGATATTGCTTGTAGAACCTGTTCCAGAGCATGTAAAAGAATTTAATTGAAAAAATGTGTCAACAGAAATTATGTACAGCTGATAATCAATACTTGTTTGTATGGTATACATTATGAGCCACAAGCTGGGTAATTCCGGATGCAATGTTGGTATACGTGGACCCTCAAGACGCTCAAGACGCTCAAGATGGACGTCATGTAGGTCATGTATACGCAATGGGGGAAAATTGCAAATAACTTTAATAATTCTATTAATTTTGCATATATAGGCAGTATGTATACTGAAGGATGTGTTCATATTGAAGTTACATCTAAGCATATTATATTATTCTTTTAAATACAGATCTTAAATAATAGGATGTTTGGTTATTCAGTGTGTACATAATTTCTAATACACAAGCAATTTGTGATCTGCAAAAGATTCTGTTTCCCCATACAGCGTTATTGCGTTAGATTTATAAGTACGAAGTCTATAATGGTGTCTACTAATGTATGTGATCATGATGCAGTTCTATTACAGACTCAGACCAAAAGCAAGAAAGTGATGGCATCGATTAGACTGGATTAGACGATCACGTTCAACCATAGTTCATGTGGAAGAAATGTGAACAGCGTGTGAATCTTTGTACAGATTTGTCAAAACAGTTAACATTTCTGAATAGATTCAACTCAGCCTGCATTATGTATAGGAGACCTATCAAGACGGCTGTAGGTGAACATTGTGGTGGAGTCACAGTGACGCGCCCGGGTTAAACAGGGAGTGACAGAAGCACGTTGATTTATTGCGAGAATGCAGTAAATTGGACAAGGTTAGGAAATTAAAAACAAAAACAGTTATTCATAGAACGAAATATTAAACTGTGGAAATTTTCATAGTTCCCCATGTGTTAATAATCTTAATAAATGTCTATTTTGAATAAGGGAATAATTAGAAAATTGTTGAAAATGTTGAGGATTTGAAAACTTTTGGGGACATTCAACACTCTGATGTATATGCACATTTAAAAAAATTCAGAGTATGTGAACAGTGTGTGAAGTAGGGCCCTCCCAGTCCTGTCACTAGGTTAAGTCATACCTTGTTTAGGCAACCGTATGGATTAGAAGTTGTTTTCAACATTGTATCCACAATAACGCTTCTGGTGTTTGTCGTTCACAGATTGACCACATCAGTGCCAGCGGTCATGAAATCATACATATAACTCTAACACTGTAACCCTACCCTATGATGAAGAAACAAATTAACACAGAGTGTGTACGTGTATGTGAGTATTATTTCTGCTAGATTTTTGTAAATTTAATGTACATTGATTCTAAAGAGTGTCTCCCCCTCATCTGGGGATGGCAACAGATCCAGTTTCCGAAACATTTAGAGTTTTTAGATTACCAGATGACGGACAAAGTCCAAAAACCCAGTAATTCCGATCATTAATGCACATTGTTTTCTAGTCACTGTGTGAGCACCAGAGCTGTCTGCTGTGGGTAGGGGTTTTACCTGGTAAAGAACGTACCTTATATGAAATTCTCAGGGATAAAATCTCTGAATTGTTTGAAGAACATGGACACAAAGTTTCACACATACCTCTACATCATGGCTGTTTCAACCCCACTGAACTGGATTGGTCCCAGATTAAGAGATATTACGATGACAGTCGTGATCAAAGTGGGTTTGGAATAGAAGATGTGAAAAGGATTAAGAACTACTGGAACAGGTCTGTGTTGACTACAGATCAGAGATTTGGAATTCACATATAATTACTTCCATTGCTGATCTTTTGTAATATTGCTGTAGAATGTAGACACAGTAGTACAACTATAAATACCTAACCTTCATATCACTCAAACTCATTCATTCACTCTCATTCATGGAGCTGAGCCCTTCTTGAGAAGCTGCCAATTGTGCAGCTACTCAAGAACGTCCCAGCATTTTATGGAACCTGAAGATTCATTACTGTGTTCACAAGAGCCCTCCACCAGTCCCCATCCTGAGCCAGATCAATCCAGTCCACACCATCCCATACTATCTCTCTGAGATAGAGAATGGTCTCTTTCTATTCAGCTCTCCCACAAATATAATATCACTCCAAAAATGTGGGAAAATTATGTGACATGCAAAGAGGCCGATGAAGAGCTGAGAAGCATAAACCTTCAGAGAAAATAGGGAAAATTTTATAGTGGCAATTCAGTTCTACCTATCCATTTTTTTTTTCCTGCTTTATGACAGCTCTCTTCCAGGAGATGCCTACTGTAGACAAACACTGGTAAGTAGAAGTGAGTATCTTTGTCCATAGGAATCCAAAATGTAATCATCAGATATATCTAACATCACTGTAATGAGCAGGACATAAAATTCTGTGTAACAAGAATCAAAATTCTCCAACATTCATGTCATATCTACATGCAGAGGCCCCACGGGTGATTTTGAACTTTTCTTAGAAAACACAAATTATCTTTATAAACTTTATAAACGTAAACCTGAGTTTCTTATCTTTTGTGGATTAAATACTGATTATCTTACTGAAAGTTACAACAAACAATACCTAAAGTCAGTACTAGTATCTTCCATTCTTACATCAGCAGTTGATTTCTGCATAGAAAACCAGTACTGTGATGAGTAATATTTTTATAGACAACAATAGGAAAGATTGTATTTATATTGAACCAATTCTAGATGGATTATCTGATCATGATGTGAAACTTTTAGTTGTAAGAAATACAGAATTGTTTTTAAATTATCATAATTACGAGAAACAAACCAGACTTATAATGGCAAATCTAAGTCAGGCAAATTAAGAGTATCAAGCAGCTGTGATGTAGATTCAAAATGTAACACTTTTATGAACTTTTACAAACTTTTGATGTAAGTTTCTTCACCAAAATGGAGAACAGAGTGTCTAAACATAATGAATGGCTAACGAAATGGATCAATACATATTCTAAACATAAATGATATCTATACCTAAATAGCCACTGTAGCAACAACCAAATAATGAAAGTTCACAACATGATATACTGGAAAGTTAAAATTCAAGTCAATAAAGAGGCAAAATATATGCATCACAATAAACAGATTAGAATCAAAAATAAGTACAAGCAATCTGGAAAACTGTGAAAGAAGAAACAGATAAGAAATGTACAGAAGAACAAACACTGTCAGTAAACATAAAAAAGGTCCTAATCACACAGAAAACTGCTGAAATATTGTACTTCTTAACAACCACAAAAAAAGAAAACAATTCTGCTAATATGTGATGCTTCTCTGATATAACAACAGGTAATCCTTGATTTATGTAATAATTTTGTTCCAGGAAACAAGATGCAGAAGGTGAAGTCACATAAATATAGTATAATTTCCCCAATAAGACTCAATGAAAATGTTGGAGAACTGCTACAAACAGCATGAATATTCTAGCTGTTATGTAAACAGCACAATATGCCAATAATGTATCTTCAGTTGCTCACAGCCTCTAATTCCTTATTTTAACAGCAGGTGTGCAGAAGAGGTTGCATGGCTGTCTGCAACGATTTCAGCACAGTGCCTTACTCTCCTTCTCCCCCCCCTCCCATCAACTCACAGTCAACGAGCAAATAATTTGGATTAGAGTGGATGCTGTTAATTGAATCTTGTGTAAATTAATTGACTGGATTAAAATTAAAACATTTTATAATCTCATATAACTTGGAATACCTGTACTTACATATGATATTGTATTAGCTGAGATGTGTATGTATTTATATTTTTATTTTTATTGGAAACAAATATTTATTTTACAAGTTCTTCTAAATACTTGTTTAAGGCTTATGATATTGTTATTTATTTTAACTGAAAATGGCTTTTTTATCCAGTGGCAGTGGTACTACAATGAGATATGACACACAAATAACACATCACACAAAATAACGCATCATGCTCAAACAAAACACAGCACACAAACCTACACAAACAATAAAGGACACACTACACACAATGAACACGATGTAAATACAAGTACAACTACAATTATATAATTTAATATTAAACAATAAGCATACAATACACTAAACAGTAACAGTAATGAAATATGTAATGTCATGAACTGATGCACTCACGTTTCACCATGACTTTCTCTTCATTCNTGTGCACAGGGCATTTATATCAGCCCCACATACTGCAATGTAATGGGGAAAATATTAAACTAATATGTTTGAATTTTCCACTGGCCTATGAATACTGTACCTATGTTACAAATATATCTGTCTATGGTTTTACAGCCCTTGTGGGCCTTGGCCGCTTTTTCAGTTTCTTAATCCATACACAGCCGGTAGGACTCCTTGGACGGGGATCAGCTCGTCGCAAGACAGAACAAAAAAAAATACAATGAAGAGAGAGAGAGAGACATCCATGTCTCGAGTGGGATTCGAACCCACGATCCCAGTGTTCGAGCGGGCGAAGATGGTTTATGCCTTAGACCTCGCGGCCCCTTTGATCGGCGTGTGTTAACAATAGAATATACTGTATAAACTCCTAATTGAAGTTGACGTAACTTTCGCGTTGACGCGCCCTTCCACACGAAGAACTTTTGTGATTTGATCATATACCAATGATCCTGAATAACCTAGAGGATTGTTATCATCATACCCAACATTACGAGTATACCTGTGGGGTGTACGATGGTTATATTCGCGCGTTAATAGGGTTGCAGTAGTTGCTGCTCGTCGTCACAAGCATAAATATCCCTAGCCAAGGCTTTTGCCGGCCTATAATTTTCATCTACACAGTTACCTTCACTGCAGCAATTCTCATTAAGCATGAAGGTTACCGACTCCCAAAGTGTACAGTACCGCCAACACCAATTTGAAACTTACAAAATTAATTGTAAATATTGCGATATAAGGTTTGTTGCCCCGACCAATATATCATGAACATCGTTTGAATTCTTAGTATTTAAAGCTATAATATTAGTAATGTAACATCATAGGCTCTTGCGTCAAAGAATTCATTTAAACTTATGTTGGTAGAACGAAGATGGCAGAGTTGATGTACCCATTCGTATATCTTTTTTTTTCTTTTTGCGGACTGTGATGTAATGTGAGGCAGACGCGATGTGTAATATTGTGAGATTCTTTATGTGCTGATTTTAAATGTAAACATTTTTCAGATTCATAGTTAGATATCTTGCGTATAACTGCTGGGAAGTAGACTTTCGTAATGGCAGAAGATACGCGAGAATCAAGTCACGTAGAGGAACATCCCGCTGCATCAATTCCTTCGGAGCACACTTCAGAAATAGATTCAGATGTTGCAGAGAAATCAGAAACTTCTCGAAACGAATTAAAAAAAGTCAGTGCTGATTTATCAGACAAGTTTGATGAAATTGACACCTCTAATCTCCATTATGAGGGAAGCGTTTGTGTTTACACAGACCCAGTAACGAAGCACCAGTATATTTGGGACTCAAATAAGAACGAGTGGGTGTTACGAAAACCATTGGAAGAAGATAGTGTAGAAAATTCCGCGGAAAGTATGTTGAAGTCTGAAAGTGGAGTACAAAGTGACACAACTGGAGACAGCAGACTTCACCGTAAACCAAATGGAGATCAGACGTCTAGAAATGATTATGAATTTGATGGGGAATCTTACTGTTATAAAGATGTCAAAACAGGTAAAAGGAGTTGAAATAACTAATGTCAGATACAAAAATAGTTTGTTCTATCCTTCTCATGAGGGTGGTAGAATTAAAATCAGCAAAAGTATCATATCAGCAAAAATTGAATACTTAATTGTCCTACAAGAAGGAATAGCCTTCCACTTGAGAATAATCACAGTTTAATCTGCCACCCTTTGTTTTTAATTTGTATATATAAGTTATGCAGAAAGAAATGATCACCTGACTCTGGAAATATAAGTAAAATGAAACACTCTTTAATGTCATACTGTAATTTTTTGGAATAGTTGATCTGAACTGTAAGCTATAAAAAGAATTTACTTAGAATAAGTAGAACTTGTTTTAATGAATTGCCCATGTTTGAGCATCCTCATTTTTAAGTTACGAGGCTCACAAGAGTAACACTTATCAGTAACATATATGAAGGAAATAGGTGCTGGAGACCTGCGTGTTCATAGTTCATTTATTTAAAATTCAAGCAGATGCAGATACAGGTTGAGAAGTATATTCACAAACCTTTGGATATAGAATGAGTCACATATCAGAACAAATGTTCCAATTAATCACTGCAACAAGTCAATGTAAAATATACATAACATAGACATAGAACATAAATAAATGTGATTACAAAAAATTGAATGGAAATGAAGAATGTATTAAGCATACAATAAAATTCCTCCAGTTTGTGAAAACAGTGCAACACCAGATATCTTCTCAAGGAACTCTTAAAAATTTTAGGCATCTCTACAAGCTCTTTTAATTCAAGTGGTAATTTATTAAAAATCTTAATACCAGTGTAGTAAACACCATTTTGATACAATGATAGAGAGGAAGTAGGAAACTATCAATTTTCACAGTGTCTGGTCTGTACATTATACCTATCCTAATTAGTAATAAAATTCATATTCTTTAGAAAAAAACAACAGGTTTGAAAAAATATATAGAGATTTCAATGGTAAAATCTCTGTCTAAAAAGATCCCTACATGAGGTCCTACTTCTATATCCTGTCATTAAACGAACAACTCTTTTTTGTAACATAAAAAGTTTTTGCCATAAGATAATATAGAATGAAATAAGGAGTAATAAATCATTACCAGTGATGAAAGAGACATATAAGGTTTGACTGATCTGATCATATAGTATTAATATATAATATACGTTATATATGTGCAACATGAAACATAGTCAGTGAGAAAGACGAATTGTATTAAGACTTTTTCTTGGTATGTTCACATGTCCACCCCATTTGTATATTTTGCCTATTATAAAAGGGTTCCCCCTTCATTATTAGCATGGTAATATGTCAGCCTACCCACTGCAGGATTGCAGTGCTGGTGGAAACTTCTTTGGTCCCAGCTCTTTCCAAATGTGAAATTTGAACCCATTTCTGATCTATTTTCCAGTTTGCATGAAGACTGAAATTGTTTTATACCTGAGTTCTTTGGGGGCTTTTCTTTGCAGGCGTTACTTACAAATTTGACAATAGTAAACACTCATGGGTTATTAAACATAAAGATTGTGGAGCAAACAAAGAAGAGTCTGAGGAGAGCGACAGCGAAAACAAAGATGACAGCGTAGTGAAGCAGGATATGAGTTCTGGTACGTATGGGTATGAGGGAGACACCCATACGTATACTGATGCCACAGATGGAACTGTGTATATCTGGGACAGAGAGAAGAATGCCTGGTTTCCTAAGGTAAGATGCCAGTTCATCTTCCCAAAAACATCAATTTTATCATTTATGTTTGTGGAATTTGAAATAACTTTAATTGTTAATTATACTCAATAAATTACATAAAATGAGACACCAGACCTCAGGAATTATAAATATTGCATCCACATCAAATATTTTTATTAGCTCAGTGAATGAAATGTTTTCCCTTTTATCAGCATCTGTGATCCAATAGGTGATGTCTGACCACTCACCTCCCTCTAGTGCCAAGGTCAGGAAAATGTGTATCTATACATCCACTCACCCATATGCCTTCATGGCGTAGTGTTTAAATAGTTAAGCACAGGGACAACTTTACCTTTACATTAGCACAAGCACTGCAGTGCCAGACTGTTTTAGCTCTCAGTCAGAGATATGATAACATAGTGAAGGGTCAAGCAATGGAGGCATGAAGCTGTGCCTTCACTCCCCATATTTCATGGCATGATGTTTAATTAAGCACATAGCAGCTTTATATATACATTAATGAAGTTGAATGGTAAAGAATACTGTTTGCCGAGATGAAATGCCATGTAGCCTGGTAGACGTATACTGACAGTGTTGAGGAACATATTCTGTCTTCAGGTTAGAACACTGTTCTGTCCCAAATATGGAGGTAATACATTTATCTGAAATATGAGTAAATTTCTGACCACCTCTGTGGTCTAGTGGTCAGAGTTCCTGGCTACAGATCCAGAGGTCCCGGGTTCGATTCTCACTACTTCTGAGAAGTAGTGGGTCTGGAACAGGGTCCACTCAGCCTTGTGAGGATAATTGAGGAGTTACTTGAAGGGAAAAGTAGCGGCTCCGGTCTAGAAAACCGAGATTAATGACCATGGGAATCTGTTGCGCTGACCACGTGATACCCTCTATCCGCAAAAGTTGGCACTCACTTTGCCAACAAGCAGCGGCTGCTTGGTCGGTATAGCTTGCGGACCAAAAACACGGAGTTTCTTTGTTTTTGTTTATGAGTAAATTTCTTCCGTACTACATGATGTAAGATCTCAGGAGTCTATATTCTACATTGTCATTGTGGTAGGAACCTGAAGTCTTACAAGCTGAATAGTGTTTATTGTCAGTTTTCTACTTTCATAGGTGGATGAAGATTTTTTGGCACATTACCAAATGAACTACGGATTTACAGACACCAGCTCTGCTGTTTCAGCAGAGAAAAAGATAGAAACCGGAGATAAAATAGAAAACAGTGAAGATCAGCCAGGCATGAAACGAAAGGCAGGACCTCAGGAACCCAGTAAGTTTACATTTTACAGCTTTTGTCATCTTTTCATTCAGAATTGGAGAATTCACTTCACTTCCTATTTCTCAGCTCACATCGGACCCTTCATGCTGCTTGATCAGTAGGGACCAGGCAGGTCAGTAATATAGTTACTCAGTATGTGCTGGTTTAGATTCCAGCAGAAAGGTGGCTGTACTGTTCAAAGCTGTTTATCACTCATTGTTAGCAACATTAGCATGGAGCATTTTGAGAAACTGGCTCTTGACTCAGCACAACCAAACCATCACTGTGGCTCCAGTGTGTTGTTGATACATTTGTGGTCTGGCCTCATGGTCCTTTGCAGTTACAGAATTTCCTCATCTACCTTGGTAGTTTAAGGCTTTCCATCCAGTTCACTAAGGAAATAGAGTCGGACGATGTAATTCCTTTTCCAGATGTTCTGGTCTTCAGGAAAGAGATGACACTGGCCACCAAAGTTTACAGAAAACCCACCCATGGAATTGATATAACATTAGGACAACTTCAGAACAAAACACACTCTTAGGAGTTCACTTATGAAAACCAGGGCAGAAAGAGCCCCACGGGCAGCACAGTGTGCTTATAGCATTCCCTGTGAACTGTATGGCTCCGTCAGTATAGGCACAATCTCAAAGTGGGTCTTATAGAAAAATCAAGCTAGGATTTTGGAAATTGAAAGTATCAGCAGGTGTATGAAATACAAGGAATAAGGCCATATGGCATGCTTAACCACTCTGATTGGCCAACCCAGTTTGGATATTTCTCCAATCTGGATCTGTTATCAGCAAAGAAGTCACCAGTTCACAGAGAAGATCTGTATGGCGTGACAGATCCTTTGTGTGTTTCTATAAGGTTTTAGTCCTGAGTGTTCAGTTTTTTTACTCCACAGTTGGCGATAATGGAAGACACAAAATGGTTTCACAGAATTCTTCATTCAGTTCTATGCATCCGTTTTCATGGACTTAGTTGCACAAAATTTTCACCTCCGTTTCTATCTTAGTTTCATGGCTGTGCATGCTTTATTACAGTTTTTGTTGTATGTTTTCCTGTTATTTTCCTTTGACAAAGCCTGGTTTCAGGTATTTATATAGCTGTAGTTATAGTGACAGGGGTTGCCCAGTGATTGAGGTTAGCTCTTTCTATGGGACCCAACAGAGTATATGTCTCCCCCTCACCTGAGGATGGAAACAGATACAGTAACTGAAACTCTGTATTCTCAGGTTTCTAGAATACTGGGTGATACACGGTGTGACGGTGTGTCCAGGATCCATTAGGACCATATGTATATATATATATATATTTTTTTTTTTTTAATTTAGCCCTGCAATGCCATCTGTTGGTGAGTTGTGGCGTTAAGATTCTTGAAGTTTCAGCTCTCACAAAGTGGCAGAGTGCAGCGTGGTTGAGCCCAAAGAAGCCGAAACCAAAGAAAGTGCGCATTCAAAAGAGTCGAGTGAAGACACTGCTAACAGTTTTCTTAGATTCCAAAGGAATCATTCACAAGGAATTTTTGCCAGGAGGTCAAACAGAGAATTCTGATTATTATCTCGGAGTCCTCAATCGTTTGTGGGTGAGAATTCTTCGAATTTGACCTGAATATCGAGAGCAAGGTTCCTGGTCGCTCCTCCACGACAGTGCCCCACCCCACAAATCGAAGATCATGCGCAATTTTTTGGCCAGAAAAGGGATCACAGTCCTTGATCAGCCTCCCAATTCACCAGATTTGGCTCCAGCAGATTTCTGGTTGTTCCCAAAAGTTAAGTTGCTGATGAAAGGAGACTGTCACGACATCATCCAGGACATCCAAAGGGAATGTACCGCGGTTTTAAATGCGATTCCACAAAAGGAGTATAGTGACTGTTTTTGAAAACTTTTCCATCGATTCCAGCTATGTATTGATTCAGAAGGAGACTATTTTGAATAAAAAGAGTGAAATTTTGAAAATAATTCATGTCTTTTATTTTTAATGAACACAGTCCTAACAGAACCTGGACATACTGAGTAAGTGAAGCCCAAAATCCCAGTAATTTTGATGTGCTGATTTCTTCAGATTTTCCCTGTCAAGACATATGCAGATTTGCCTCCATCCTGCCTGTCAGAACTTTTAAAAATGTTAAAACAATTTATGTTTGCATAAGAAATAAAAGTCTGATTCACAGTTGCATATTTAAGTAATTGCTTCTTATATTTTCAGGCTGGTTTGATATGGACGATCAATTTAATACAAAGGTGTATGTGAGCAACTTGCCCCTCGACATCACAGAACAAGAATTTGTGGACGTGATGCAGAAGTGTGGTCTTGTAATGAAGGATGCAGAGACAGGCAAAATGAAGATTAAGCTGTACACAGATCCGGGCACCAGTCAGCCCAAAGGGGATGGCTTATGCTCATACATCAAGGTAAAGAAATTTCACAGGCATGCTTCACATATTACATTCTTAAGAGAAACGTTTCTGAAACTCCAGTATTCGTACCCCTAACTGTGCCAAAGTAGCTTTCCAAGGGTACCATAAATCCACATTTTCAATATCCCTGTTGAAAACTTATCTGTGAGTATTATTTTTTGTTTTTAATCAGCGTAGAATAGTTATTATAGATAAAAAAATAAACTCCATGATTTTAGTCCGCAAGCGAACTATACTAACCAAGCAACCGCCACTTGTCAGCGAAGTTAGTGCCAACTTTTGTGGATAGAGGGTGTCACGTGGTCAGCATAACGAATCCCCGTGGCTGTTAATTTCGGTTTTCTAGAATGGAACCGCTATTTCCTTGAAATAGCTCCTCAATTATTATCATGAGGCTGAGTGGATCTGTAGCCAGGAACTCTAACCACTAGACCACAGAGGCAGTTTAATCATTATACATACTTACTTACTCACTCATGGAGCTGAGCCCTACTTGAGGAGCCGCCAGTTCTGCAGCTACTCAAGAATTTCCCATCATTTTATGGAACCCGAAGGTTCGTTACCTCCACTGGTCCCTATCCTCAGGCAGATCTCTCCAGTCCATACCATCCCATCCTATCTCTCTAAGATCCATTCTAATATTGTCCACCCACCTACACCTTGGTCTTCCCTGTGGCTCTTTCCTTCTGGCTTTCCCACCAATATCCTATACGCATTCCTCATCTAGTCATTATGCATATGATGTGTAAATGTAACCATTGTTTATTTATTGCTATATTTATATTACTTAATTGCAAAACGCCACTGATATTCAGTTGTGTAGTTATTCATCAGTCATTCGCACCCTCAGTACTGTGTACTCAGTACAAAGTTTATTAGTTTCTGTTGTGACATGTTTTGACTACTGTGTAGTCATCTTCGGGTCGTTGCGTGTTGTATGTTCTACTCTGCAAGGTGGCACATTGTCATTTGCATTTTTCGTTTTTGATAAAAATCTGTTGTTTTAAAATTAAAGTTGAAATTTTAAAGTTATTAATTTTGACATTCTAAGTTTGAATTCTTCCCTTCTTTAATTGAATCATGGTGGGTCTGTGTTATGTGGTTTCTTGGAGTTTTGGGGTGATCTTTCCTGTTACTGCATAGCATTTTGTTTCTCAATGTTGTGTGTATGGAGTGTGAAAAAATTCATATTCACAACAGCAATAAGAGCTATTCACTAATCCCTACACCATGTCAGCACTAGATTTGAACTTGAATATCACAACTCCTTTTAGGCACATTTAAGTAAGCATGTTTGGAAAAGTACCTGTTAGTTTCATCATGACGCTTTGTCCAATTGTCTGCCCACAAGCAACAGTTCCCATGTAAATCCAACAAAGACCTGCATTAAATTTCATCCAGTCGGTATGCTTTTGTTTAAGACAATTCTTTTAGCTTTGTCCATTGTTCCATTTTAAGAAAACTCTACATTTTGAAAATAAGCTTCATTTCTTGCGTCCGATAAACAACATGGATATCATGTTGCACAGTAACATATTGTAACTTGTTTGGAAAAGTACTTCCATAGTAACGCAACAACAGAGAGCCATTGCGTCGAGAGCATCGAATCTCCACGGTTACAACGAATACACGGAGCGTTCCCACAGAGACAACGCAATAAAAGTGGGTCATTGCATAGGAATTGCAGAATCAACAAAGCAGCGTTTCCACGGTTATAACAGGGTTCATTTGCATAGCAGCGGCCAAGGGTATAAAAAGGGGTTGAATGCATTCGCCAGACAGTCTCAGGGCAGATGCCGAGAGATACAGAAGTAAGTCTTGGAATAGCCGCCACTGAAGAAAGTTGAAATATAGCAGCCGACAGTGGAACAAGAAGTAATTATAACAGTGAAGCAGTGGATAATGATTGTACTCGTAAGTGTATAAGTGAAGCGTCCAATAAAGATTCGCTGAATCCGAGACCCACGCATAGTTATTTGTTGCGTGCAATACCCAACACGTGACAATATTTTGATTTCTGTTTCATGAAATAATAGATATGCAACATATGCAAAAAATGTTTCGTGTTTGTAGATCTTAATCCTCTGCACATTTTATACTGCGTATCATCTTGCTTTATGTTTAATTCTCAAAAACACAGGTAAAATTTTGGCCAGGCCTCATGTAAAGTAGGCCTTACATTGAACCATGACAGATCAAAATTAAATTCACATAACAGACTTTAGTGTATACGAGTACTTCGAATATGAGTTTTATCCCTTTGCATGCCACAAGTTGATTTGACATGCTTGGTGTATCTATGTTAAACTGTCGCAGCTAAAGAGGTTCTCTCTCTTTCATAGTACAGCATTTCTGGCAAATAGGTTGCATCAAGTATGATGTACCAATGTGTAGAGGAAAGAACCAGCTTATAAACATTGTCAACATCTTTGACCATTTGAAGAAAATGTATGAAAGCATTTGGGGTTTTTCTGTGGAACCACATTTACCCTCAAGCAACATTAGCCTTCCTAGCAGATAGTTTTGTGGCAGGGCTTGGGAATAAGAGGGTTATTTATAAAAATTCTGTTGAATGATTTCGGAGATGGAACAAGTGGATGGAAGAATGGGTGTATGGATGGATAGAAAGAATTGGCCAACGCACACAATGAACTCATTTTTATGCATTTCATACAAAGAATACATAATGTGTAATAAAGTGATTCCTGTATTTGTTTATGTTTCTTATCTCTTGAATTCAATTAATGTCAAAAAGGTCATGAGAAATGAAATATCTCACAGTCAGACTTTTCCTTAGGTGAAAAATGTTTAATATTACATGTACTAATGACAGTTATTCAGTTTATTTAAATATAATTGTTTTTATCATTTCTATAAACACTTTGTATTTAAATTTGTTTCACATCACAAATTCAGAAAGAAATCAGTTCTGCTGCCATCCTGGTTTCACTTCGTGACTTTTCCATCAGAGTACATTAAATACAGTGTCATTTGTTTTATGAACATACTTGTTATATTAATGAATATCTCCTTAACACATGCTGTGTTGTGGTACAGAAGTATAATGTGCCATTTTATAGATAATTTGCCATATTAGTAGATTCTGTACTGCAACATATTGTCACGTGTTGGGTATGTAACGTGACAAATAACTTCATGCCTTATTGGATATAGCAAATTCATTCCACATTCACGCTTACACTTATACAATTCACAATTACACAATTACTTCTCCTGCTGGAGTCACTGCCATTCACTCGATACAACTCAACTCCTAACTCAATACTCACTACTCCTGAATACTGTTCACTGCTCCTTATTTAAGCTCGGCACGGACAACATAGAGAACACACTGCTGCTCATCAACAGATATCAAGTATTGTTGTCAGGTGTTTCTACCTACGCATTGCCTAGCAGTAGTCGCTGCTCGGACTTGCCTGTTGCGTGACGTCACAGCCTAGTAGGGAGAGGTGTTTACCGAGTGTTGCGTAATGATGGGAGGAGTGTGAGTACGTGACGTCACTTGCAAGAACGCAGAGTTCACGTGACCCCTACTTCCTGTTGTGCCATCATCCATGTCACAATATAATAAAAGTACCCAAGCTTAAAAATCATCTTATATTAATCTTAATTACCATTAATGCTCTCAGTTTTGAAGTTCTCATGCTGGTGGCTATGAAGATCGCTGTTTCCCGCTGTGTGACGTTGTGTAATCTTGAGGGGGGGGAATTACCATTTCGAGGGACCTGCTGTTCGCTCTCTTCCTATAAACCTTTTTCATGTGCAGACTACTCTTTTGCCCTGAAGACAGAAGCCTCAGATTCCTCTGAAACAGTTTAATTATCTACACCATATAACATCCTTATAGACATTAATCTTCATTATATTACATTGCATTCCATTCCATGGATCCAGAGTTAGTCAAAATGACTGTAGGATGTGGATTATGTCATATAAATACAAAACAGTGCAGTCCCAATGGAGTTCTCACACAAGAGAAACCAAGAATACACAGTGAGTACACACAAGGCTATTTAAACACACATAAGTTATTTTTTAGACAGTAGGTATTCATCAACAGTGTAGAATGAATGTGTATTTAAGTATTGTTTCAGTGCTATTTTAAATCGTGTCTTTTCATTCATAAGACCTTTGAGATCAGATGGCAGGTTAATAAAAATTTTGACCCAGCATAATATGTGCTTTTCTGAAAGCATGAGAGGTTAGCAGTTGGTTTATGAAGACAGTGTATGTGTCTTGTGTTAACACTGTGTACATCCGCATTCATCTGAAAATGTTCTTCTTGACTGAGGATTACTCTCTTCTGGGATGACAAAGTATAGTTTGATTGATAGACTATAATCAAACCTATTACACAGTTTGTCTGCAACAGATATTGTCATAAAGACTAGATGGAAAACCTGGATTGACTCTAATCAAACCTATTACACAATTTCTTTAAAACAGCTGTCATAAAGACTAGATGGAAAACCTAGGAACAGTTTTTAAAGTGTTAATGATGTGTTTTTGTATATACATGGATATTTTATATAGTGAGAAACAAGGAATTTTGTAATAGAGATTGTATTATATAAATGGGAGAGTATAAATAATACTTTACAGATTAGAATGGGCAACATAGTTAAACAAGATTTAAATATTTGGGTTACAGATATCATTTCTAGATATGATAAGATTTTAACTATGCAAATTTTGCAATGAAAATTGTAATCAGAGATGTATGACCGATGCATATATAAATAAATTAGTTAAAATTGATAATATCACATAAAAGAAAAGTAGGAAGAGATTATGAGAGAGAGAATGTGTTGAGCCGAAACGTTGAATGAAAACAACTGAAAAATCACCTGAAGCCAATATAAGATGCCAGATGTTTTATAATTCATCATTTATACATAAAAATTAGATTGAAACTGTGTAATAGTTTTAATTAGAGTTTATAAAGTTATCCAACCTCACATGACATTGTCTTTGGAGTCTGTTTTCAAGAAGTAATAGATCTTAACAAATTCTGAAAACATTACAGCATTCCTGTCACATCTCCATGACTCTCTAATTGGCTAACAGAACAGAGAGTACCTGATGCTGCAAGAGAAGTCACAAATTTGTAACATCACTTCTTGTCAAATTAATTTGTTGAGAAACAGCACTTGTTATAGCTGCAAGGTTAGGATTCACTGATTTCACCAAGTTTAATTATAAAATGGGTTCAAGAAGAGACATTGTGTTGTATGTCCATACTTTAGCCTTTTGTATGCTTTGCAAGAAAACTGAAACATTTAACGTCTTAAAATCATAATATCATGTTAGATCTAAATTTTTCAGAACATGTTAATTTATATATATATTTTTTTTCATTTATTTATATACATACACTCAACTCTCGATTATCCAGGGGTAGATAAACCGGTTTGCGGCTTAACCGGAGCTTTCTTTGAGGCTTATGTGTTGTTTAATATTCATTCACTTTTGTTTCACATGGTGAGTTGTAACACTATTTTTAGTACTAGTGTGAACCGAGCTCTGCATTTTTTGGTCCTGTTATGCTAACACAATGTTCTAGGGTAGGGGTGAAAGAATGCAAGGATGTGTGGAAAGTTTAAAGGACAGATACACCTCCCAAGTTAGTCTCTTTGTATCGATCTTCAAGTGCATTAGCAAAATGTCAGGGTGTAAAAGGAAGCGTGTTGTGTTAAGTATTCAACAGAAAAAGGAAAATGCCGCGAATAAGCAAATAACAATATTAAATTTTTTTAAGTG